GTATGTAAACACACGTGTATGTAAACACACGTGTATGTACACACACGTGGATGTACACACACGTGGATGTACACACACGTGGATGTAAACACGATTAACAGCTCCACTATCAATCCACTGCTGGACTAAAGGCCTCCTCCCCGCGCCATCTCTCAACACGCATGTCAATTGCTCATAAGCAGAATAAAACACGTTCTCTAAATGCAGTAGATCGATCGTGGCTGCCTGATGTACACTCTGTGAATGTTCTGTCAGGGCGCGAAGGCAATCTTTATTTTATCGGATAAAGGCCCACTGAGCTACATAGCTCTTTTTTTGTCAGAAGCCACCTGACCACAGATGATAGCTCAACGAAGTGGCTTATCACGTGGAAACGCATTGTGGCCAAAACACTCTCAAACGCATCTTTCTAAATGTGGAGGCAAAACCCGGAGGACTCGGAGTAAAATTCACGCGGCGACGGGGAGAGAGACACGCAAACTCCAAATACACAACAGCAGGCGCCAGGGTCGGTATCGAACCCATGCCCATTCTGTAAACCAGGCGAGGTAGTTAACATCTCGCCACCGTCACGTCCTAAACGTAGCGCACATACACGTCCGAGTTGTCGCTCTTTTTGTCCCAAGGGAAGGATCGGTATGAAGTTTCCACATTGTCGATGTAGGTAGCGCGCGACACACGCAGAGAGTGCACGGGTCCCGCCGTCGGTGAACCAAGTAATTTGCCTCCCTCGGAGTATGACGACGAAGCCAACAGAAAGCGGGCAGATCTCACATTACGGGTTTAGGGGTCTTGCAAAGGAGCAGTTTCGTGCGCGGCTATTTGTGAGCGTAGCTTAGCGGGGCTGTGAACGTCCGTGAGTGCAAGCTGAGGGGTGATGTGTGAATGTAGCTGAGTGGGGATGTGAGTGGTGTTTGTGAATGTAGCTGAGTGGGATGTGAGTGGTGTATGTGAATGTAGCTGAGATGTGAATGGTGTTTGTGAATGTAGCTGAGTGTGGATGTGAATGGTGTCTGTGAATGTAGTTGGGTGGGGATGTGAGTGGTGTTTGTGAATGTAGCTGAGCGGTGATGTGTTTGTGAATGTAGCTGAGTGGGGATGTGAGTGGTGTTTGTGAATGTAGCTGAGTGGGGATGTGAGTGGTGTTTGTGAATGTAGCTGAGTGGGGATGTGAATGGTGTTTGTGAATGTAGCTGAGCGGTGATGTGTTTGTGCATCTAGCTGAGTTGGGATGTGAGTGGTGTTTGTGAATGTAGCTGAGTGGGGATGAGAGTGGTGTTTGTGAACGTAGTTGGGTGGGGATGTGAATGGTGTTTGTGAATGTAGCTGAGTGGGGATGTGAGTGGTGTTTGTGAATGTAGCTGAGTGGGGATGTGAGTGGTGTTTGTGAATGTAGCTGGGTGGGGATGTGAGTGGTGTTTGTGAATGTAGCTGAGTGGGGATGTGAGTGGTGTTTGTGAATGTAGCTGAGTGGGGATGTGAGTGGTGTTTGTGAATGTAGCTGAGTGGGGATGTGAATGGTGTTTGTGAATGTAGCTGAGCGGTGATGTGTTTGTGCATCTAGCTGAGTTGGGATGTGAGTGGTGTTTGTGAATGTAGCTGAGTGGGGATGAGAGTGGTGTTTGTGAACGTAGTTGGGTGGGGATGTGAATGGTGTTTGTGAATGTAGCTGAGTGGGGATGTGAGTGGTGTTTGTGAATGTAGCTGAGTGGGGATGTGAGTGGTGTTTGTGAATGTAGCTGGGTGGGGATGTGAGTGGTGTTTGTGAATGTAGCTGGGTGGGGATGTGAGTGGTGTTTGTGAATGTAGCTGAGTGTGGATGTGAGTGGTGTCTGTGAATGTAGCTGAGTGGGGATGTGAATGGTGTCTGTGAATGTAGCTGGGTGGGGATGTGAGTGGTGTTTGTGAATGTAGCTGGGTGGGGATGTGAGTTGTGTTTATGAATGTAGCTGAGTGTGGATGTGAATGGTGTATGTGAATGTAGCTGGGTGGGGATGTGAGTGGTGTTTGTGAATGTAGCTGAGTGTGGATGTGAATGGTGTCTGTGAATGTAGTTGGGTGGGGATGTGAGTGGTGTTTGTGAATGTAGCTGAGTGGGGATGTGAGTGGTGTTTGTGAATCTAGCTGAGTTGAGATGTGAGAGTGGTGTTTGTGAATGTAGTTGGGCGGGGATGTGAGTGGTGTATGTGAATGTAGTTGGGTGGGGATGTGAATGGTGTCTGTGAATGTAGTTGGGTGGGGATGTGAGTGGTGTTTGTGAATGTAGCTGAGTGGGGATGTGAGTGGTGTCTGTGAATGTAGCTGGGTGGGGATGTGAGTGGTGTCTGTGAATGTAGCTGGGTGGGGATGTGAGTGGTGTTTGTGAATGTAGCTGAGTGGGGATGTGAGTGGTGTTTGTGAATGTAGCTGAGTTGGGATGTGAGTGGTGTTTGTGAATGTAGCTGAGTGTGGATGTGAATGGTGTTTGTGAATGTAGCTGAGTGTGGATGTGAGTGGTGTTTGTGAACGTAGCTGGGTGGGGATGTGAGTGGTGTTTGTGAATGTAGCTGAGTGGGGATGTGAGTGGTGTTTGTGAATGTAGCTGAGTGTGGATGTGAGTGGTGTTTGTGAACGTAGCTGGGTGGGGATGTGAGTGGTGTTGTGAATGTAGCTGAGTGGGGATGTGAATGGTGTTTGTGAACGTAGCTGGGCGGGGATGTGAGTGGTGTTTGTGAATGTAGCTGAGTGCAAGCTGAGCGGTGATGTGTGAATGTAGCTGAGTGTGGATGTGAGTGGTGTTTGTGCATCTAGCTGAGTTGAGATGTGAGAGTGGTGTTTGTGAATGTAGCTGAGTGGGGATGTGAGTGGTGTTTGTGAATGTAGCTGAGTGTGGATGTGAATGGTGTTTGTGAACGTAGCTGCGTGGGGATGTGAGTGGTGTTTGTGAATGTAGCGGAGTGTGGATGTGAATGGTGTCTGTGAATGTAGTTGGGTGGGGATGTGAGTGGTGTTTGTGAATGTAGCTGAGTGGGGATGTGAGTGGTGTTTGTGAATGTAGCTGAGTGTGGATGTGAATGGTGTCTGTGAATGTAGTTGGGTGGGGATGTGAGTGGTGTTTGTGAATGTAGCTGAGTGTGGATGTGAATGGTGTTTGTGAATGTAGCTGAGTGTGGATGTGAATGGTGTTTGTGAATGTAGCTGAGTGTGGATGTGAATGGTGTTTGTGAATGTAGCTGAGTGGGGATGTGAGTGGTGTTTGTGAATCTAGCTGAGTTGAGATGTGAGAGTGGTGTTTGTGAATGTAGCTGAGTGGGGATGTGAGTGGTGTTTGTGAACGTAGCTGAGTGGGGATGTGAGTGGTGTTTGTGAATGTAGCTGAGTGGGGATGTGAGTGGTGTTTGTGAATGTAGCTGAGTGGGGATGTGAATGGTGTCTGTGAATGTAGCTGAGTGGGGATGTGAGTGGTGTTTGTGAATGTAGCTGAGTGGGGATGTGAGTGGTGTCTGTGAATGTAGCTGAGTGGGGATGTGAGTGGTGTATGTGAATGTAGTTGGGTGGGGATGTGAGTGGTGTCTGTGAATGTAGCTGAGTGGGGATGTGAGTGGTGTTTGTGAATGTAGCTGGGCGGGGATGTGAGTGGTGTCTGTGAATGTAGCTGGGTGGGGATGTGAGTGGTGTTTGTGAATGTAGCTGGGCGGGGATGTGAGTGGTGTTTGTGAATGTAGCTGGGCGGGGATGTGAGTGGTGTTTGTGAATGTAGCTGGGCGGGGATGTGAGTGGTGTCTGTGAATGTAGCTGGGTGGGGATGTGAGTGGTGTTTGTGAATGTAGCTGGGCGGGGATGTGAGTGGTGTTTGTGAATGTAGCTGGGCGGGGATGTGAGTGGTGTTTGTGAATGTAGCTGGGTGGGGATGTGAGTGGTGTCTGTGAATGTAGCTGCATGGGATGTGAGTGGTGTCTGTGAATGTAGCTGAGTGGGATGTGAGTGGTGTTTGTGAATGTAGCTGGGCGGGGATGTGAGTGGTGTTTGTGAATGTAGCTGGGTGGGGATGTGAGTGGTGTTTGTGAATGTAGCTGAGTGGGGTTGTGAGTTGTGTTTGTGAATGTAGCTGAGTGGGGATGTGAGTGGTGTATGTGAATGTAGCTGAGTGGGGATGTGAGTGGTGTCTGTGAATGCAGCTGGGTGGGGATGTGAGTGGTGTTTGTGAATGTAGCTGAGTGGGATGTGAGTGTTGTTTTTGAATGTAGCTGAGTGGGGATGTGAGTGGTGTCTGTGAATGTAGCTGGGTGGGGATGTGAGTGGTGTTTGTGAATGTAGCTGAGTGGGGATATGAGTGGTGTTTGTGAATGTAGCTGAGCGGGGATGTGAGTGGTGTTTGTGAATGTAGCTGAGTGGAATGTGAGTGGTGTTTGTGAACGTAGCTGAGTGGGGATGTGAGTGGTGTATGTGAATGTAGCTGGGTGGGGATGTGAGTGGTGTTTGTGAATATAGCTGAGCGGGGATGTGAGTGGTGTTTGTGAATGTAGCTGAGCGGGGATGTGAGTGGTGTTTGTGAATGTAGCTGAGTGGGGATGTGAGTGGTGTTTGTGAATGTAGCTGGGTGGGGATGTGAGTGGTGTTTGTGAATGTAGCTGGGTGGGGATGTGAGTGGTGTTTGTGAATGTAGCTGAGTGGGGATGTGAGTGGTGTTTGTGAATGTAGCTGAGTGGGGATGTGAGTGGTGTATGTGAATCTAGCTGGGTGGGGATGTGAGTGGTGTATGTGAATGTAGCTGGGTGGGGATGTGAGTGGTGTTTGTGAATGTAGCTGAGTGGGGATGTGAGTGGTGTATGTGAATGTAGCTGGGTGGGGATGTGAGTGGTGTTTGTGAATGTAGCTGAGTGGGGATGTGAGTGGTGTTTGTGAATGTAGCTGGGTGGGGATGTGAGTGGTGTTTGTGAATGTAGCTGAGTTGAGATGTGAGAGTGGTATTTGTGAATGTAGCTGAGCGAGGGATGTGGGGTCTCTCCGCTTCCCCGCAGGCGAATGTTCCCCTTCCTGAGCTTCACCGTGTCCGGCCTCGATCCCACCGCGCACTACAACATCTTCGTCGACGTGGTTCTTGCAGACCCCAACCACTGGCGCTTCCAGGGCGGCAAGTGGGTGCCGTGCGGCAAGGCGGACACCAACGTGCAGGGTGAGTGAGTGCGTGCGTGCGGGCGTGCGTGCGGGCGTGTCACCTGCAGCCCCAAAGTTGCTTCAGCAGCAGCAGCAACAACAACAACGTGGAGGCGAATTTAGATTGATGTTGTTGTGAGCGTACGTCGGAGTGCGTCTGTGACGAGGTGTGTGTTTGTCTGGGCGTGGTGCTGACCACCCACTCCCTCGTGTGCCATTCCGGCCTTCATAGGTGCTCGCTAACAGCACTTGCCCCAACAGTCTGTTAAGGCTACACGGGGGGATCTTTGTCTTTGTACTTCTGTAGGTGAGCGGTCGTTGCGCTACGAAGCCGGCGACCCGAATTCGTTCCCCGCTCACGGTCAACATCGGTGACGATTATCTGAACGGGTCCTGAGCCTGCACGAGGTCGACTCAACCTCAATTAAGTGCCTGGTGCGCGCTAACGTCGCTTGCACCTAAACGTCTGTTCAGGCTATCCGGGAAATGGTTGTCCTGTGTGTGTTGGAGAGCATTAAAGGGATCGTGTATGTTTTAGCATTTAGTGTGGCACTCGAAGCGCACCTAGCCTGGCACAAGCGTCGTAGGGACGCCACCCGCCTCTTTCGTGGTGAACGGCGGTCGTTCTAAACGACAACGCGAGGGAGCTGTGGTGCAGCGGTTAGCGCACTGCTCTTTCGAACGCGGCGATTCCCGCTCGCAGCCAACATTTGGTCTGGCGAATATCTTGAACCCGTCCTGGACCTCCCCCAGATTCACTCGGCCTGGTGCAGCGCGTAAAGATCAGCGCCGGGGAGACAAAGGCGGCCCGGCATCGTACTGGCCACACCACCCCGTTCATAGGTGCTCGCCAACACCACTTGTCCCACAGCCTGTTAAAGGCTACGTGGGGGATCTGTTTCTTTGTGTGTGACAGTGAATGTGTATGTGTGTATGTCTTTGAGCCTGTATACACGTACGCATACGTGGGAGCGAGTGAGGGTGTACATCTATACGTGCTATAAGGTGTTCGTGCCAATGTGTATTTGTGTAAGTGTCTACGTTTGTACTTGTGTGTGTGTGTGCGAGACGGAATGCACTTAGAGCCCACCCGCCTGGGTTCTATTCCCGGTCACGAAGAACACCAGAGGCACGCGTGAATTGAACCTATCTCACGCTTCGCGTGCGTATACGTAATCACTGGGGAAACAAAGACGAGCGGGCGTGGTGCTGGCTTCGCCACGTACGTCCGAAGAAAGGTGTTCCCCAACAGTCTCAAGGGCCATATACGGGGAGTTGTGTCTGCCGTGTGTCTGTGCAGGGCATGTGTGTCTACGGTACATGTACGTGAGCGTGTGTGTGTGAACACACGTGTTTGTCCATTAAACACGCGATTCTAGCGTTTTCGGACGCAGTAATTAACATCGATGGCACGCGGTATCTAAACCCGGTTTGTGCCTTCACTAGATCGACTCAACCTTCAACGAGTACCTGATGCGGTGTGCAATCATCATCCCTGCGGGGGGGGGGACACAAGCAGTCTGGCGCGGTGCTGACCACGCTACTATCGTCGTGTGCCGATCCGGCCTTAATAGATGCTCGCTAACAGCTTTTGCCCCTTACGACTGATGAAGTGGGGAGGTGTTTCTGTGCCCGTGTGTGGGAAGCGGTAGTGTAGCGGTTAGTGCGCTGCGCTACGAACTCGGCGACCCCAGTCCGATTCCCTCTCACGGCCAACACCAGTGACGATAATTATCTGAACCATTCCTGGGCTTCCCCTAGGTCGACTCAGCCTCAAATGAGTACCTGGTGCGGTGTGTAAACATCGCCACTGGAGAGACAAAGGCGGTCAGGCGTGGTGCTGGCCACCGACCCCCTCGTGTGCCGTTCTGACCTTCATAGGTGCTCGCTAACAGCACTTGCCCCAACAGTCTGTTACAGGCTATACGGGGGATATTTGTCTTTGTTTGCATACTGCACTCACCGCATGGCCGGAGCGATTGCCCATCGCATCTCATCGCGCAGTAATGACATTCTCACCGCAGCAAATGAGACAAGCGGGCGCGAGTGACACCTGCTGAGTGGCGTTATAAGTATTGGTCTATTGCTGTCCCATTAAAGTATGACATCGGTATCACTTAAAGTGCGCACAGCGATATATGCATATATACGTATACACATATACGTATATACACATATACCTACAGAGGAAAAGGTCCTTCCGTTACGGGCTGACGTTGCCGGGGCAAATGCTGTTAAGCGGATCGAGTGTAAGGGCAGAACGAGCGCAGAAACGGGGTGGTGGTGTGGCATCACCGCGGAACCTCTGACTGTCTTGGTCTCCCTGGTGCTGAGATGGCACTTACCACTGATGTTGTCATTGGTTGGAAATTGAAGCTAGATAGCCGGATTCGTGGCGCTTTGCGCGACCCATTGTCCCACCGCTGCCTTGTAACAACAGCACACGATACATTATTGTAGATTATTATTTGTTTCTAAAAATGTGTTGTTGTGATGTTCTGACCCGCCCCTATTGGACATTAGTGAAAAAGAGCAATTATAGCCCATCGGATTGCTCCAGTATAAATACATATTCTGATTCTGAGATGTAATATTACGTTTTAGTCCACCATCCCAAGCCATCTCGAGCCATCTCGAGGGAGTGTCGTTTTGTTTTCTTCCCAGCAGTATTTACTTGACCAGGAAAAAATATCTGTACCCGGTTTCCACCTTCACGAGGCTCGTCGGCAGAGTCGGACAGAGTGAGCGACGACGTTCGTATTTGGTGATCGTGTGGTTTTTTGTTTGGTTGCTTGCTCGGGATGCCTTCAAAGCAGACGGGTTGCGCCGTGTGTCGCAGGGAACCGCATGTACCTCCACCCAGACTCGCCCAACACGGGCGCGCACTGGATGCGACAGGAAATCTCCTTTGGAAAGTTGAAGCTCACCAACAACAAGGGCGGCACCAACAACACGGGACAGGTGAGGCGCACGCACGCACGTACCGCACCGGACAGACACACACAGACACACTCCGCGGGCCAAGAGAGCTCTCACACCACCCGCAGAGGTCGACTCACGTACGTGGCGGGACATATTTACGACGGTGGTCGCTACGCTACACGTGGCCTCGTGATTCAGCAATGTGGAAGGCAGCAGCGAGGTTTGGTGGATCGCGCAGATGTCGTGAAACCTCCGATACCGTAGAAGCACATAGGTAGCCATAGCCTGGCTCGTCGTAAAATGGCAGTACAGCAAGTGGATGAATCTCCATCTGTTTCCATCTGTACAAGACAGGGACAAAGGGTTCCCCCCCCCCCCCTCGCACTGCTCCGGTTTCCTCCCGCAAAGTATGAAACGTTGATTACTGGAGTTGCTCAAACATCCCAGTATATGACCACAGATCTTGGACAATTGTTGTCCCCGGTTTCTGGCTGCCTTCCCGCTTCTCTGTGGTTCCCTGTGCCTCTAATACACGAACAGAGGCTAGCACACCATACCTGAAGTCAGCCACCTGACTCCATCAAGTGACGAACACCCCTCGAAATCTTCTACACAAAATGGACGAACACACATCCCTGGTAGACTAATACACGTATCGAACACATCTAACAAACAAACGTACCTACCTTAACACACCTACCAGGCTAATGCTCATTTTAAATGCACCTACAGCACCTATAATACGTCACATGCCTACGCGCTTACTTAGAGCGAACCGACCTAACGCGCCTCCTGCATACATCAACACTCTACAACATACAACTGGCCTTCCTAACTCGCTCACTATACGTGGAACTGTCGTAGCACCGTTAACTTAGCTGACTCACCCACTGCACCTGCTGCTACACAGACATCTGTACCTTCATCATTGCACCCACCCCCCCTCCCCCCCCCGAGCGCATCGCAGATTGGCAGCTTCGCAAGCTCGCGGTCTAAACCCCGCACGCGTGCATCCACGCGTGGCTTTGCGGAGTGTAGCGATGTGATTCCACGCGTGTGTGTGTGTGTGTGCGTGTTAGGGGGATGGCTGGGGTGGGGTGGGGGGGAGTGGTTGGCGGGGAGAGTGGAGGGGGGGGGGAGTTATTTAATTGGGACCGATCCATTGCCGCACAGGGGTGAGAAAGGCGCCAGCCGAAGCGGAACGGAGCGTGGTGAGAAACGGGTTGCGGACTTGTAATCGCGCCTGCGAACCCACCCCCACTCTCATAAGTAAACCACTACCTCCCACCCCTAACCCTCTCCTTGTCCTCCTCCCCACGCCACAGCCAGCACCGCCCCGCCCGCCGCATCATCCCAGACCCTACGGTGCGCCCCATCGCTACCCATTACACGCACACACAGATGATGCGGCCAGCCTCTACCCTGACATCCACCCCTCGGGAACTCCACGCAAGCGGCACTAAACACATTGTATCACGAAGCGCGTGTCTCGATCACGGGGGCCTCGAGGTGTTCGTGACGCCGCTTAGGCTAGGCGGGGGTGGGGGCGGTTAGCTGAAAACTCAACACGTTCGTCAATGGCACTATGTGGGCTTGAAATAAAACGGATACACTAGGCGACGTTTCGAGCAATGGCCCTTCTTTAGAGCACATACACATGGAGGCCAGGAGACTCGAGTGGATTTTTTTTTGGCTAAATGTGTTTCAACATCTCACTGCGTGGACACCTTCGCCGTCGTGCCGTCCAGATCTGCGATGTGTTTTCCCGGTGTTGTACGAAATCGTGTCCGTCGTTTCGCTCCACGTGCTCAGAGCACCTTCGGGAATTGAACATTCTTCAGGCACAACCCGAGAGCACATCGGAGGGGCAGATGGTAGGGCAAGTTCGCGATTTTTATTTTTAAATGTTGCAGATCGGTAGAGATTCCCTCTGGGTCTCTGGGAGAGAAAAAAATATTTTGGTAATACAAACATCAGAGATTACGTAACGTGGTGTCTACTAGTTTCGTTTGCGCTACCGTGCCCGTTATTTCTCTACGCCTCTTGCAATGTTTTGCTTGAAAAAGATCCACGTGTCGCTTAAATATAGATCTCGCCCCCCAGTACCATCATAATATTCACATTCGTAACGATGTGTTGGGTTTGGCGCAGGTGAGTTTTGATCCATATTTCGTCGCTCGTGCAAATTTGCGTGTGCCTTTAATAAACATGCGGTAGAATGCAGTGGTTAACACATATACTAAATCCCACGAATAATCATATTAAGTAACAAAAAATGGCTATTCTATTTGACGATGGTGTCCATACCCTGTTTCTCTACGAAGCGAAATATACGATCTAACTGTATGCTACATGACCATGACGTGACTATTGCATACTCATCATGCACACAACTGCATTCCTCATATTAACTAAATACGTTGATATTTCAAAATAATAAAAAAATTCATAGCGCTTTCATCCAAAGTCATAGCACTTAATTTGTCATCAAATGACATACCTAAACAATGCCAGTCGGGCAAAAGGTCAATGACGATTTCCTTCTTCCTCTAAGTGGGCGAATAAGCAACACATTGGAATGATGCTTTTGATAATTAATCATCACCCGTCTCCAAAGCAACGCCTATTGAATACTGACGGATTACCATATACATACCCTACTCCCTGGGTGTTGCTTGTGTCAATCCAGCCTGCACGGCCAGTCCCTATTGTGGATTCCACACGTGGAAGGTGGTTGCGGATTGTGATGGTCGGTCTGCGCCTCGTCTTACGCGGATAATCTTTTGTCTTTTACTCAAGTCCGGCTTGCGTGGAGGAGTAGGCCAAATATTCTCCTTAGAGGGGCTCTATCGAGTCCCATCGCTTGGAGGCCACCAGCAGTGGTGTGAACAAGCAATTGAAGGGCTGAACCTTTTATCCTGCTCATGTCGAGTTTTTGAAGTTAATTGAGCTATTTTCGATACTTATGTCCCCCAGACAGCCATCGCTTAGTAGGAGGTCGCTCATTATTTTCTGCCCAATTGTCTGGAACTCCCTTCCCCCCCCCCCCCCCCCAGCCGTCCGTGCTGTTGACTCTGTCCGTGTTCAAGTCCAGGCGCAGGACCTTCATTTCTCCCCTCTGCATGTGACCGCCCGCCTCTGTTTGTCTATAGAATAAATATGCCCACTGGTGTTCTACAGCGTATCGAGATGCGGTCGCATTTAGAAGCGATGTAAATCCACACCGTGATGTGTTTGTACGCGGTATTGCCTGTGCTAAGCCCTACTCGCGGCGCGCAATCGTTTGTCCCGCGAAGCACACAACGAGGAGGCATCGCAACTGAGATGGACAGCGATGGATGCACGCGACCACTCAATTGAACAAACAGAAAAACGCCAAAATGGTCAATGCGAATAAAAATTATGCACTACTGAACTTTCATTGAAGGAATGGCCATTGATTTATTGATATGATAAGATATTCATTAACGCAAGTGCTGATGTTGTATTTTAGTATTTCCTAGTTGGTTTTCTTTCACAAGCCTATATGTATACATCATACACCCCTACATAAATGACAACACACACATATACTACATATGATAATGCCTTGCATGGCAATGACTCAAGGTCAATATTTCATGACCGGCAGTGCCATCGATATCTCCGCGCCTCGCCATCGCTTCCTTCCTTCTGCTATACGCCGTCGTTTTTGCTAAGTCGACATCCAACTGGATCGAGGTCTTGCTTCTCCTTCGTCGCTGACCTCTGGGTTACCACTCCAGTGCATGTCTCGGTACCAGAACTGTCTTGCAATGTCATATCCCCAGCTCCCAAGTTGCTTACCCTATCCCCAGCTCCCAAGTTGCGTACCCTATCCTTCCATGAACGCCCTTGCGTAAGTGACGTAGCAATCGAGTGTGCAAGCGGTGAAACTGCACCAGGACCCACGGGATGGAGGGACCCAGACGCCGGGTTACGAAGAACTGGGAGGTGGGGGAAGAATTGAAAAGGGTGTCCCGTTTCATTACTTGCACGAAAACTTTACTCACAAACAAACACCTTGAGAGACAAAAACCCAACGCAGAAGATCCCTGCTTTTTATCTTCCACGAAGCTCATGGTGCACCATAAACCGCATCCCTACAAACCTTGACAAATGCGGATATATGATGTATAAATGGAAAATTTAAAACTCTCCAGTGTCCGTCTGCGGTCATCCAGAACAGAACGTGCAACATATAACGACGCAATGCCCGATCCGCAAATACGAAGGAGACATCACCACGGCGATACACTCCTCTGCTCTTGTGGCAGTCGTCTGGCTTGAACACCTGAATGTGTAATTGTAGAGTTGTTGCGCTGCATCGACATCAGTCGTGCGAAATAAGTATGACGTGCACCAAGGCTCAAGACAACCACGATACGCCATTGCCTGCGAAATATGATAGTGAATTACATCGTATAAGCACACACATCTCTTATAAGCAACGCATGCTTACATTAACACTAGTGGTGGGAGGTAAACGGCAAATTCTGATACAAGCACACGACTTTGGATATAAGCACACCTGGCCCTGCTCTGAAAGGATGTGTTTATTCATTAAAAAAACACGGTTGCTAACCACAGGACCAAAACACAAAGTGGCCAGCCACCAACAGCACTTTTACGTTTTACACACGTTCGTGACATCTGCTCCCCGTGCTCCCTACCACGGCTGCCTGCACGCGGATGCAATTCTTCTGTTCGCAGATGATCGTGTTGCAGTCGCTGCACAAGTACCAGCCGCGACTGCACGTGGTGGAGGTGAACGAGGAGGGCGTGGAGGACGCCACGCAGCCCGGACGAGCTCAGACCTTCACGTTCCCCGAGACACAGTTCATCGCGGTCACCGCCTACCAGAACACGGACGTGAGACGCCCCGCCAGCCCGTCGTTTGCACCAACAATCACATTTGTAAATGATGAGAAAACCCCCCCATCGTAATAGTGCGGGACTGAAAACCATAAGTTTCAAACAACACCACCACCACCACCACAAAAACACGTGTAAAAATCATAGAGCGTATGTGGATATATATGCAAAAACCCATTAGCAGTTCCTGAAAAAAAATGCGCATTGTGGTCCCCTTTAACCAATGTTAAACTTGCACAGATTTACCGCTCTGAGTCAATCCGCTGATGGGTTATTTGACAAAAACTTCAGCACGCTGGTCAGCGCCAATTGGTGACGGCTGGGAGCAAAGGTGTGAGGTGCGGCCAGGGTCTCGACGAGGATCGATTCACCTATCAATCGCCACTGGTGATAGCCAGGGCTGAGGCTGGAACTCAGCTGGCCGGTTAAACAATACAATTTGCAATGAAGTTTGTATTTATGATGCTTCTAAATTAAGTCACTTCTCAATACGCTTTACATATAGAGGGAATACAGTACATACACATCTGGAGACTTTGAATAAGAAGGGGAGTTTTGAGAAATGTATTCTAAGCAAAGAGAGGGGGGGGGGTAGAATTATATACGTTACGGTAGAATATTGTATGAAGACAATTCTTAAGATTAGGAGAGTGCCAATGTAGAATAAAGTTGTAATCCCCTGGCATTGAACAGATGTATCAGCAGTGTGTACGGCTAGACAAAGGGAATTCCAGACCACATGACAGCAGAAAAGAAGCACCCTCATCTTGAGCAAATCTTTGTTGATGGAGGAGTTTTACAAGTAGTGCAAAAAGTTCCCGCAATATCACTGTATCAACAATTCTGGCGTTGCCCGTATTGTTGTGTTTAACACGGCCTCAGCACGTAATAAACGAAGCTGCACGTTCATCGGAGACAGAACAACTGGGTTCAACCACATTTTAAAATGGTTTTGCTACCAGAGTCACAAGCGCTCCGAGCTGACTGGGTGCCACGTGCTCGTGAAGACAAGCTGGTTAAACATGCCCGATTCCTTATACACGTGACGACGAGGAAATGTGTGATAATAAAATTGGATGACTCCGTCTTTAATGAAGACAAATAACACACTCGAATTCGTTATTTTCATTCACCCTCATTTATTTCAAATCCCTGTTTTTTTTATAGACTGAACAAACCCGTTCCTTCCCTAGCTTTCCTGCTGAGCTTCTTGAACCAGGCCTCCTAGGTGACAAGGGAGAGATAGGGGTCGGGCCTCATTATTAGTTATTAATGTTCAATGATGGGCCCTCATAGATGACCATGGGTCAATGATGTGCAACTTTGTTTGACGTGGGACTTTGCGCAGCATTTGAAGACTGCAATGAAATCACGCACAGGAAAGTTGCTCCGTTAAATTTCATGGTGCAGTGGATTTTGTGAATGGGCTGAGTGGAGTGAAGTTGAGAAGTGGTTATGTTGGTGGAGTGGAATTGAGTGGTGGTTTGACAGATGGGGTTAATACATATTTGGATTGGTTTTCGTGGAGTTTAGACGTGATTGCTTTGGTGTAGTGGAGTTGACAGAGATTGGGTTAGTGTTGTGAAGTTGAGAGGCTGAGTTGTTGGAGTGAATTTGAAAACTATAGAGTTTTTTTTTTTTTAAGTTGAATTGAGATGTGATTGAGTTAGTCTGCGGTCGAATGAAAATTGAGTCGGTGGAGTTGCATTGGAAGAGGGTTTGGGATTTTGCGGGGTGGTGAGAAATAGAAATGGGGAGGTCGGTCCTGTGGGAAGGCAGCCAAGGGATACTGCGTGGGTGTAGACAAATCATCAGGGCGCACGTCATATACCATTCTCTCAGTCCACTCCACACATTGCACGGAACGTATTGTGTCTGGATCTCACGTCAACTAAGCGAATGCCTATATATTCTTGGTTCTTTCGGTAAAGTCACGTTGAAGGGAAACAATAAAATAATAAAATATATATTAAACAATAAAATTCTCACGACGTTTCGACTGCAGCACAAGCAGTCATTATCAGGTGTGAAAACCAACGGCAGGAACATTTGAAAGAAGTGGCGGTTTGTATTTATTTATTTTTACACGTTAGCACCACGGATAGCGATTTGACAGTTTGTTTAGATGGACGAGTCCATCTATGTTCGGAAAAGAGGAGGGGGGAGACGAAAAATTAATGTATGCTGTCGGAAAGCCACCGTAAGCGTGAACAATCAATTAAGACCCGAAATGGTTTATCAAATCCTTCCAATGATTGCTAAGCCAGAATCCATCTTCTCGGTTGAAATTGTCTCTGTGTTTGTATATGTGGATAGCCTCATGAACGAATCTCTCATGGTAGCCAGATGGCTTGCAAAGAACCTTTGTCTTGGAGAAGTCAATGTCAAGTGAGCCTACTGAATTATAACAGTGATCTGCCACGGCCGAGGTGTTGGTCCTACCGTGTTTAAGGTCTGCTTTGTGTTCACAAAGAAAATTCTTCTGTGATGGATGGTGGTGGGAATCCGGTTTCAGATAAGCATCCGTATGGGTAGCTTTCCTGTAGACAGAGTGGCTCATTGAACCATCAGGTCTCTTTTATATTAAGACATCCAAAAAAGGTAGCTTACCATCTTTTTCGACTTCCATGGTAAATCTGATGGCTGGGTGTATGGAATTGATGTGGTCGAGGAATTGGTCTATAGCACGCCGGCCATGTGGCCAGATGACAAAAGTGTCATCCACGTACCTCTTCCATAAGGTTGGGCGCCGAGTGGCAGTCTGGATGGCGTCAGTCTCAAATGTCTCCATGAAAGTGTTGGCTATAACCGGAGATAGGGGCGAGCCCATTGGGGTGCCCTCAGTTTGTTTGTAGAAAGTTCCATTCCAAGTGAAGTATGTATTGGTTAAGCAGTATCTCACCAGGGGGTGTACCTCAGTGTTTAATCCTTGATGAATCAAGTCTTCAATGATTGCGATGGTGTCAGGTACAGGAACTTTGGTGAATAAGGAAACTACATCAAAACTGGCAAGCAGGTCGTCTGGGGACAGGGAATACCCTTGATTGTCGATACCAAGTGAGTAGAATTTTGTATCGCAGAGGTGGTTTTTCAAGTGAAAGGCCGCAGGATTTCAGACAGAAAACGAGCCAGTTTGTGGGTGGGGGAGTTGATAGTAGAGACGATGGGACGAAGGGGTATATCTACTTTATGTATTTTTGGTAAGCCGTATAATCTTGGTGGCCTGGCAGCAGAAGGTTTCACCGAAAACTGTTTAGTTTGATCAATTAATGCGGTTGAATCAGAAATTATTTTGTTGGTTTGTGTGATGAGGCTGTTAGTGGGATCTCTTTATATTTTTGTATAGCTGCCATCGTCGAGTAATTATTTAATTGTGTTGTTATATTCTATTTTATCATTGATGACAATAGCATTGCCCTTGTCGGCTGAGAGGATTACAATGTCATCCCTCTTTTTTAATTTATATAATTCAAAACGCTCATCTTTGCTGAGGTTGCTAGCTATGCATAAAGTAGATACACCCCTTCGTCCCATCGTCTCTACTATCAAGTCCCCCACCTACAAACTGGCTCGTTTTCTGTCTGAAATCCTGCGGCCTTTCACTGGAAAAACCACCTCTGCGGTACAAAATTCTACTCACCTGGTATCGACAATCAAGGGTATTTCCCTGTCACCAGACGACCTGCTTGTCAGTTTTGATGTAGTTTCCTTATTCACCAAAGTTCCTGTACCTGACACCATCGCAATCATTGAAGACTTGGTTCATCAAGAACTAAACAATGAGGTACCCCCCCCTGGTGAGACACTGCTTAACCAATACATACGTCACTTGCAATGGAACTTTCTACAAACAAACTGAGGGCACCCCAATGGGCTCCCCCCTATCTCCAGTTATAGCTAACATTTTCATGGAGAAATTTGAAACTGACGCCATCCAGACTGCCACTCGGCGCCCAACCTTATGGAAGAGGTACGTAGATGACACTTTTGTCATCTGGCCACATGGCCGGCCTGCTCTAGACCAATTCCTCGACCACATCAATTCTATACACCCAGCCATCAGATTTAACATGGAAGTCGAAAAAGATGGCAAGCTACCTTTTTTGGATGTCCTAATAAAAAAGAGACCTGATGGTTCAATGAGCCACTCTGTCTACAGCAAAGCTACCCATACGGATGCTTATCTGAAACCGGATTCCCACCACCATCCATCATAGAAGAATTCTCTCATCAAGACTCTGCACCATAGAGCCCAATACATATCCGACCAGGAACACATAGGCAGTGAACTCAAACACATACACCAAGCTCTTAAGGCGAATGGTTACTCCGACTATACAATCCGCAAAGCTATCACTCAAACCATGAAGAAGGACCCTCTTGAGGAGCCTTTCAAAACCATCACTTTACCCTACATTGCGGGGATCACAAAAAAGATCTCCAAAATCTTGAATAAACACAAGATCCAGGTCCGTTTCAACACATTCATAAAATCCGTGATCTGGTTCCGTCTGTAAAAGATGTGATTCCGGACATACAATACCCTGGTGTCTACAAACTAAGTTGCCTCTGTGGTAGTAGTTACATTGGAGAAACCAAACGACATGTCTCGGACCGCATTCGTGAACACAAAGCAGACCTTAAACACGGTAGGACCAACACCTCGGCCGTGGCAGATCACTGTTATAATTCAGTAGGCTCACATGACATTGACTTCTCCAAGACAGAGGTTCTTTGCAAGCCATCTGGCTACCATGAGAGATTCGTTTATGGGGCTATCCAAATATACAAACACAGAGACAATTTCAACCGATAAGATGGATTCTGGCTTAGCAATCATTGGAAGGATTTGATAAACCATTTCGGGTCTTAATTGATTGTTCACGCGTACGGTGGCTTTCCGACAGCATACATTAATTTTTCGTCTCCCCCCTCCTCTTTTCCGAACATAGATGGACTCGTCCATCTAAACAAACTGTCAAATCGCTATCCGTGGC